GGTCGTGAGGGAGATAGATCAAGGGGCGGGGGCTCGCTTTTGTTCTCCGGTGGGACAAAGAGCTAAATAGCGGATTGGGGGAGGTGCCATCTCTGTGACTGCAGGCTCGGAGGTCATTGGCAGCGTTGGTTCAGGTCGACCTCAAATTATTAGCCTCGTGTTTTCTGTACGCATTAAGTACGCATAAAAATGCAATTTGAGTGAGTGACAATCGCTTGCACGCCATAGTTAGTCTAGTTGAGTTGGTTGTTTTTTTTTCCTTTGCCACAGTGATTCAAACGCAATCGTAACTCACATTCTAATGTCTTCCCCTCCCCTGGCATCACTGGAAAAACTAATGTTACCATGGTAACGTTTCATCATGTGACCAAGACCGGTAACGTTTCCTGACGCGACCTACCCCATGCAAAAGGATAGGGCCATCACAAAATGGTTGCATCACCAAACGTTACCTGGTTTGGTCGCGTCAAGAAACGTTACCTCGGTAACGTTAGTTTTTCCAGTGATCCTTTGCTTTGCTGTCGCTGCGGGTGAGAGCCCTCGCGATCTGGATCGAGTCGTTCAAGGGTTGCAGCTGGTATAGGTCTAGTTTCTGCAAATCCGACAGTTGGACTGAACATGTGCTGTGCAGTTGAGCGAGACCTTTTTTACGGCCATTTCTCCGCAGCCTTTCACTCACAACCTCTTTCTCCCTTTCTCCTCGCCTTCACCTCCCGCCCGTCCCTGCTTCCCGTACCCGACGCGCTGCTCTCATTCCTTTCAAAAAAGCGAGCTGCAGTATAAAGCTTCGGCGCGCTTTTGACGCAATGCATTACTGCTGGTATTGGCGCTCATGCCGGTTCGATTATGAGGCGGAATAGCCGTGCTACAGGAAAAGAGCAATTCTTTTGGCGATGTGTAAAAAATCACACCCGATTCCAATCCGCAAGTGCCCTTTGATCGCATCATTAATTTAATTTCCAAAAAGGATGAATCGTCTATGACAACAGAAAAGTTGCAAATGAAATGATGTTGACGGTGTATTTTGGTGGTGGGTGGTGGGATGGGGGATAGAGACACGCGGTGGGCTATTTTCGGGTGAGCTTGAACTCAGCGGGGATGGGGTTCGTCTGCAGAAAAGCCCCCCCGCCCCATTCCTCCCTCTGTCCCCCTTTCCGTCCCGCCAGCCCTTTCCGTTCCCCACCCCTACGCCCCACTCCAGTCCTTGCCTGCTCCGCGGGGAGCCTGTGACCAGACTAGAGGCTTTGGCGCTCCCCGCTCCCTCGCCGTACCCCGTGTGCTCAGCGGTGGCGTGGCACTCAGTAAAGTGCCCTTTGAACATGTTTTTTTTTGGGTAAAAAGGAGTACGGGTATCCTTCATGTGGTCAAAACATGTTGCTTTTAAAAAAATACGAACTGCTCGTTTCCGGTTCTCCCCCCACCCCACCCCCTTTTTATTGAGTTTGGCAGGATTTGCATCAAATCTTTTGTAGTTTAGGAGTGACCCTAAACATTCCAGCCCTTATTGATGAACGGAAAAACGCCAGAGCTAATAATATAAGCCTGCTGACGTGGCCTTTTCAGAGCATAAGAAAAAAGTGGCGAATAATTTGAAATATTTTAGTCCGTTTTTTTCTGCTGTGCACGACACAGCTAGCCTGCCCATTACAGAAGAGTCTTCCAGCACAGCCTTATCGACAAGAAGCGGCCCATTAAGGGCACGGCAGGCGATCCGTCGCCTCGGTCGCGAATCCTAAGCAAGGCGAAAGCCAGGGCGAGAGCGGGCGAGAGCCGGCGGGAGCCCATCAAAGTGACTTGTTAGAAATAAGCCAATGAGGCTCTATGTTGGGGTGGGTCAAACCGTCCGTGGAAGAGGCACGCAGAGCCAGGATGGAGAGAGGCGGAAGCGAGCAGCCTGCTGAGGGGGGAGGGGGGCAGCAGCGGCGACAATGGGGAACACTGCGTAGCCCATTTTCAACTTGATTAAAATTGACGCGATTGTGTTGTGCTGCTGAAAGAGAGGGGCCGGGGGCCGCCTTGCTTACAAACATCGTTTTTGGGCTGCCGACGCGTCGTCGGGCATTAGTGGCGCCTTTCAGCACGCCCGCCTACGAAAAATAAAAATACAACACAAATGCAAATTAGCTACCACCTGCACACCAAACTGCACGCGCATCAACATCAGCTTGATTTGGGATAGCGATGCGTTGAAACTAGAAAAAAGTGGAGAATCCATTTTTTTCTCAATTCCAATCTATAAAATGCAAAACTCTTGTAACCGGTCTGAATCGTACGAGGGGTGCCCAACTCGAAAAAGTCGTGTACACCTGATTACCAAATAGTGATGATTGCCAAGGATTACTAGAGATTACCGAAGATTACCAAAGATTACCTATGATTACCAAGGGTTTCCGAAGATTACCACTAACAAAAGATTACCAGAGATTACTAAAGATTGCCATTGATTACCACAGATTACCAGTGATTCCCAAAGATTACCAGTGATTCCCAAAGATTACCAGTAATTCCCAAAGATTACCAGTGATTCCCAAAGATTACCAGTGATTCCCAAAGATTACCAGTTATTCCCAAAGATTACCAGTGATTACCAAAGATTACTTGGTGATTACCAACGATTACCTTGTGATTACCATGAATTACCGGCGATTACCAGGGATTACCATGAATTACCGGCGATTACCAGGGATTACCGGTGATTACCGCTGATTACCAAGGATTACTGGCGATTACCAATGATTACCAGTGATTACCAGGGATTACCTACTCTGTGTACACCTGATTACCTCAGTTGGGCACCCCTCGGAATCGTAGTTGTTGCACTGCTAGATTGCTAACAGAGACTATTGTTACGTCCTTTGGTGTGGAGCGGAGTCCTGGACTTGAGTCTAGAGTCTACCTAGTAGGTAGGGTTCTAGACCGACGTGGCCCCTCGAGCCGCTGCGGTAACTGGCACACGGTTCATCTCCCCGAACCAAATTTCTTGCCGATTTCGCGTGCCGCTCTGTAACACGTACCAGCCTTGGAAATGGTAAAATGCCCCGTGCCGTGCCGGGCTAGTGCTGCGCTGGCCCGGCTGCGCTTGCGGTGTCCTCAGCAACAAGAAGGGCCACCCTGCGGTAAATGAAGTTGGAGATTTATTGCGGGGCGCGGCGGGGTGGGGCAGGTCTAGAGGGCCGCCGGGGAGGCGCTCCCGCGCGCGCTTTTGGAGCGCCCCGTTTGGAGGCGAGGCGAGCAGCGCCGCGGTGAGCAACGAATTAATTTAGTAATGCATTCTCTCCGCTGTCTCACTCCTCTATCGTTCTCTATCTCGCTCTTTTTTCTGATTTCTCTCATACTCTCTCTCGATCCTCCTCCTTCTCCGTTCCTTTGACCACACGTCCTGCCTCGTTCTATTAGATCCGCCTTTTGTCAATATTCAAGTGCATGTTTCGGATTCTTGACTGGATGTAGCACAACTCGCGCAGTCCCGCCCCAACTACCTGCCGGCAGGCGCGTTCCCCTGGACTGGCGGCGCACAAGCGGGGCCGCAGCCGGAGCCCGCAAATCGCATTGGCCCTTTGGTGCAGGGCTGGCCGGGCTGGCCGGCGCTAAGCCCCGCTCACACGCCCCAGCGTCGGCCCGCGAGCCGGACCAGCCGGCTGGGCCCGGCGCTCCGGTCTAAGGCCCTCTGCCTATGTGTGCGGTCGGCCCAAAGCCAGCCTGCTGGGCCCGACCCTCCTGCCCCACAAGATTTGACGGGGCTGCTAGGAAAAAATTTGTTTAAAAGATGACAGAAAGCAGATTGTTCACTGTTAAGGCCGTGGTCGCCTAGCATGCCAAAATGTTGGCACTCCTTTTTGATTGCCAAATTGTAGCCTTCTTTCTTCTTTTGGAGGCTGACAAATTTTCTCATTCAAAAAGAACTGCCAACATTTTGGCATTCTACTATGCGACCACGGCGTGAACAGTGTTATGGTGCTGCTTCAGTCAAGTATGCCTGTAAGATTTTTGACATACGTTGGACCGTTTCAAACATCCATCCAGGTTTCGTACGTCTTTTCCTTTTCATTTCGTGTATCTTTGTTTACGCTTGCTTTGCGTTTATTTCTGGCATTCTCTTTCTATCTTTGACGTCACTTTCTGTTTATTGTAAAGTATCTTATTCCTTCGTCTTTTCTGGTCCCCTATGGTATTTTGTACCACATTTCGTCATGAAACGCGTCCGGCTGCTGGCGTATTGCTTTGACATTTCTGGTCAGGCGCATTACACGGGGGTCTGTTCGAGGTTGAAGGGCTCCAAACCGCTTTAGCCCGCCTATGACCTCTGACATATCCTTCGGGTCTTCTTGGACACCTCTTCCCTGGAGGGCCCGTGTACAGCCCCCCCCCCCCCCTCTCCAAGCCCCATCGTCATTCGCCGCTCGATTAAGCTAATATGCAAACCGGATTACAATTTGCAGTGCGCTGGAGAATAAAACGGCGGCCGCGCCACGGCAGTGATTGAACCGAAACCCTTTTCTTTTCAGCGCCGCGAGCAGCAGAGCACGCTTCCTTTTCTCCTCTGTCTGTTTCGTCAATCTGCTCGCAATAAATTCACGGCCCGGACACATCGTGTCCAATTGGATTTCAAATTAATTTCCGCAGACTGGTGGGGCGGGGAGGGGAAGGGCTGGCCCCTCTCCAAACGGCGGCCGGAGCACATTCTCTATCAAGTCTACTTCCGACTCGTTTCGCCCTGTCGCGCCGCCCGCCGGCCCGGGCTCTGCCGACCGGAAGTGCGAAAACAACAGCGTGGTGCAGCGTCCCGCCCACCTGTCTAAAATAAACGTGGGGGCTGGAGAATGGGGCGCTGACTAATGGCCATGGGGAAAACACAGTGCGGACTACACCATCAAATTTGAAACATTGAAACGGCTCGTACATTTTAGAAAAGCCGGTCGGCACGACACTGAAACTGTGAATATGTTATTGTTGTTTGATAATTTTGTGGTTAATAGTGTTCTCTCTCTCTCTCGTTCCAGCCCATGGCGGTGGAGCCCGCGGGGGGCCAGGACCTCGGCCCCACATGACTGGGCTGGTGGCGGCCGCCCCCGGTGTGGTGGGAGTGGCGGGGGTCGCGGGGGCCGCGGGGGCGCTGGGGGCCGCCATGCCCGCCCTGGAGGGGATGGACAACCTCAGCACGCAGGACCCCGCCTCCCCCGCCGGCCCCCCTCTGGACGAGCTCACGACCCCCACCATGGTGCTATTAGGTAAGTTAATTTATCTCATCTCGGAATTTAGCTTGTATTTTTTGGACAGGAGGTCTTTGTTGGGGAATGGATTTCCCGAGGGGGAAACGACTGGTAAACTTTGTGTCAGCCGGATTAAGGATAACCCGGATTACCTCCGTAGTATCCTCCGGATTACGTTGCTTTTTCTCTAGGATTACCCCCAAAATTTTCCGGATTACCCCAAAATTTCCCCGGATTACCCCGGATTTTTTAAAAAAAATTTTCGGATTACCCCAGCCGGATTACCGAACGGCTGTCAGCCGGATTACCTTAGTCGTTTCCCCCTCGGGATTTCCTCTCATGTGACTGTGGCCTTGCACTGTAGAATCTGCGAACGATTTTTGTGGTTGTTTACATAGAATTTGCGCCTATGATCCACCCCTACCCTCTTTACCCCCTGCCCAAGCTGCTATCCATTGTTACCCCACACTGAGGCGGGTTTTTTCAGTGTCAACATTCGTGTGTATTCGCTGCACATGGGGATGACAGGAGTTCTCCCTTGCGGGACTTGGGCAGACAGCGGGCGAGGCTGGCGGGGGCCGGGCCGGGCACTCGAGTTGTCGACGCGAATCCCGAAGTGCTAGGACGGGCTTGGCGGCGTTGGGCGAGACGAGACGAGTAGGATCCCGACGAGCATGCAAGTCGCGCCCGTCATAGCGACGCACCCTGTCCGTTCCTGTCCGGTCACATCCCACACTCGGGTGGCTGATGTTTACGTCTCTATTTGGCTATAAAACAAGAGGATTCTGTATAGTTAGCTTTCTTTAGCATCACATCATTCAGAAACACGTAATTTTGTACTGACCAAAAGATTTTTGCTCGAGAGTTAAAGTTACATAGCAGATTACATTTTCTTGCTGGAAATATTTTTCTGGGTACTTTATTTTACGTGAAGAACAACTTTTTAAATTACCAAATTTGCATGCTTTAAAAAACATGTGCTGCTTTATAAGTATACAGTAAACAACACAGGTGTTTATCCGACAGCAAATATTAACGGTGCATTTCACCAACCAGAGGAAGCAATCTTGGCGAAGTGGAAACTCCTTTACGACGGTCGGCGGTTCGCCGCGCAGTTCCTATGCGAGCACCGTGCCCTTGAACCTTTAAGGACGGGAGCGTCTCACAACAGCTGTCACTGTGAGGACTCGGCGTCTCTGCACGCACGGAAATGGAAACAGCAAAGAGGATAGTATCTAAAAATGTAAGATATTTTGCTTTGCAACAGTTCGAATTGGGTGGAACTGGGTGTGTCCGTGCCATACACATTTTGTCGCATTTTGTAACTATTTTTCAATTGCACTTCAAGTATTTTTCGTTTCAAATATATTTATCCAAGTGCATTTCTTGAGTCAATCCTTCAAATTATAAAGAAATCATCGGACCGCAAACTGTCAAATATGTCCAACTGAAGGGGGTCACTTGCACTTGCGACGGAAAGAAAGTCCACATACTATATTGTAACGCTTTTACGTGGCTTTTATAAGCTCGACCAGAAACCCCGCCTACTTGGTCGTGGCCGCTGCATCGCGCACATAGGGCATTGACGCACCGCTTCAATCCCTGTTCGCCTCCTCGTTCCCGCAATCCGGTCACGTAAAACATGGAGCGGGTCGCGTCGCGGACAGATGAGGACAGCGTAACGAGGCGGCTGTCCAAATACAGACTGTGTGCTAGGCGGTCCTCTTTTTTCCCCTGATGTTTCTTTTCCCTACCCCTTGCTTTGCCTTTTTTTTTTTTTTTTTTTTTTGGTGTGTGGGTTTTTCTCCTGTCCCTTTGCGCCAATGGCTGGGTGTGGTGATTGGCGTTGTAAGCAAAGGTCGATACGCGAGTGTCGCGAGCGACAGGCAATGGCCGCGAGGGTGATTTACGTCGAGGTTGACAACAACCCGTTCTGATTATCCGCATCAACCTTGTAAAGCAAGGGCTACTGTAATTATTATTTTTTTTTCGTCACGACTCGGCCCAAAGCCAAAGTTCAGACTGTACGCAGGCTGAAACTGATGTCCCCAGCTATTGCGGGCGCGGGCCTGCCCGGCACTGTCCAAAGAGAACGGCGTCAGCGGTGTCAGTGCTGGCTGTAGATCACCGGCCCCCGCCGCGGGGGATAGATGGGCAAGGACGAAGCTGCTCGACAGGTAGGCCCGGGCCCGGGTAGGCCCCGCTCTCACGCGTGTCCAGCAGGGTAAGGCCGAGGTTGCCCCGCGGGGGGTCGCCCATCCATGGTGCGTCTAACACGCCGATCCCAACGCGCGTTGCTAGGCGCGAGGACGCCCTTGAACCGGGTGAAAGTGACCGGACAGGACAGAATTTGTGGTGAGCCATTCGATCAGTCGTCCCCCCCCCCCCGCTCCCCTCACCACGACACCTCGCGAAAGCCCCGCTCTCTCGCGCGCTAATTACGACAAACGACTCAAATTGATGGGCCTGAGCGCTTGTTGAGCGGAACTCAATTACCACGCCCCACCACCACGCCCCAACACCACCACCACCATGCCCCACCACCACCACGCCCCGCCACGCCCCTCCACGCCCCGCCATGCGTGCATCCCACCTAATTTATCAGTCGGACGCACTGCTGTCTTTTTTTCTTTCTGATATTTTTTTTAGCAGATGATACCAACAGTATATATTTTATTATTTTTATTTATTTCTTTTTTGAAATGAGAGTCTATCATCAGCGATTAGTCGTCTCGCGCGTAGTGCCTTTCTATCGCTCTGTATGCATGTCTGTGTTGTGTGTATGTGTGCGCTGTGTGTGTGTGTTGTGTGTCTGTGAAAGGGAGAGGCAGACAGCCTCCCGATCGGATTGACGACTAATGACGGGCGTAATGGTGCTGCCACGAGGCCGCTTCTGGATTCCACGGATTCCGCGGTTTTTGCGGATCATCCTCATACACCTCCATACAGCGCAGTCTGTGCGACTCATCGCTCGAAATTTGGAACCGGCGGAAAACGTCATATGTCGCCGGGGCCGTGGACGTAGGGGGAAAGGGGGAGAGTTAAAGGGCGAGGGGTATGGGGCCCTCTGGCGGCGGGTATTCATGTCACGTGCAGATTCCATGGATGTTTTGTGTCGTGTGCGGAGCGCTCTTCCCCCCCGACCCGCCTCCACCTCACCGCGCCGCGCCGGCGCACCGCCCCGCCGTCGGAGGAACATGACCCTCTCGAGACAGCTGCGCCATAGCGAGCATGAGGCCTGTTCTGCCGTTCAACTTGTGTGTAGTAGTTTTGCTCTCGTGTCTCATCCCCGTCCAAACTCTCCGCGGGTCCGCTCGGCACCTCGCCTACCTGCCGCCGCCGCCGCCGCCCCCGTGTGCCGTCGGCCTCTGCCTTGGCTTTTGTTCACAACCGGGGGCTGCTGTGCGCGAAGGGACTATTGTAATATCCTCCACGTCGGTCCGTCTGTCTTTCTGTCTCCCTCTGTCTCTCTGGCTGCTATGCTGTTCCACTCTTGCCTTTCACCTTCCCTTTTCTTACCTGCTGGAAGCCCGCGAGAGACAGAGACAGACAATAAGAGAAGCAGGGCGGGCGCAGTGAAACGCTTCAGCGGGGTGTAATACACAAAAGCTTCTGGGCCACCGCCCGCGCCCGGGCTCGTCAGCCACCGCTACCGGGGGCGCGGCGCGGACTGAACCCTTAACCTCCGTGGCCCGTGATGTCTCTTAGCTGTGTTTCCCGGGAGGTGCGGCTGGCCCGGTCCCACACGGCATGGCGTCTTACTCCTGCTGTGCGACATCCACTTCGATCAGAGACGCACTAGCAAGGCGTGTAGCCCTCCGCGATGGCTCTGGCCGCCCACGCTGCTTTTCCATTTTTTATCAACCGCGCTGAGTGCCTCGGTCCCCGAGTCGGTCCCTCGGAGGTGCGAGATTGATGGTCGGGCTGCCTGTCCCTCGCCCCGCGCGCTGCCCTGGCGCTGCCCTGGCGCTGCCCGCCTGTTATGGCTTATAGCCTCACCTCGGGCGGGGCCGACGGCGACGCGCCCCTTTCATGCAAAATTGAATTTGCATGACTTGGGCGGTGCAACAAAAAAAATCAACAACATAAATATGAAAGACCATAAAAAAACTAGCCAAAAACTATGAAAATAAACAGAAAATAAATAAAATTCAGGTTAGAAGGTGTGGGCTGGTGGGAAAAACCTTTTCTTGGCGTGCCGTGGCTCTAAGGGTCCCCACCCCTCTACCCTCACGCCCCATCCTGGGTCGTCCCAGACCCGACATTCCCAGATATTCGAGTGACGACACTCTCCCTGCCCGCGCTCCTGGTTTTGATCGCGACGCGCTGTGCAGCCGCCGCTCCTCGCCAACCCCATTCCGACCCGCAATCCGCCATATACAGTCGTGAAAAATAAGTGTTGGAAGGTAGGGTAGGACGGGAGGGCGACCCCCCGCGCCCCCCGCCCCGCCAGCGGCATATGTGAGGAATGACAGAGTGACGGGCCTACAATAAACAGCCCTCGTCCTGCTGTCGCACTACTACCCTCTCCCCCCACCCCTTTATATCCCAGCCCCCCCTTCTCCCTTTGAGCGGCACAGGCCGCCCCGTGGCCCCTTTTTTGAAGGCGCTTGGGATTGGATGAGATCCCGTCCGTGTCAGCCGGTATCGCGGCAGCGTGCCGAGGCAGGCCCTCACGGCACTCGCTGAAGGGGAAGGACGGGAACCTCCCTCGCCTCTCCATCCTTCCAACATATTGTACGTTTCCTGCCCAGTGCGCGCTGCCCGTGCCGCGGACGCCTGCATGCTCCTTTCCGAGACACTGACCCGAACGGAACGGGTGATCTGAATCGTTGGATACATAGCAGCGGCCTGAGATAGCCGTCAAGGAAAACAACGTAGAAGCAAGCTCGGTCAGTTTTTAAACCAGACGGTTGGACTCATCCTAGGATTTATCCGTGGTGACTTCGGAAAATCGTGCCGCGTGTCCGTACTTTAATTCGAGGGCCCGTGTAGTTGTCGCCCGGCCAATAGTTATTGTCGTGACGCGGTGGGGTCCGGCTGCCCTTGGCCGCCGCCGTCGCGTCGACGGCAACAAGCTGCCTCTCTCGCCGGGCGATTTACGCCCCCGCCGTACGTGTGACGTCTCCTCCATGTGTAAGCGGCCGTAACTTAAGGGGCGGCAGTTTAGTGCGCGCCTCCGCAAGGTCAAGGTGGTTCCCGGGTGTGGCGGTGGCGTGGGCCGCAGTGAGGCAGCCACTCCCTGTCCCTGCCCGGCGAGTCCTTCCCGCCCAGGTGCCTGTGGGAGGTGCTGTCGTCGTTGGGGTCGTCCCCCTCCGCTTCGCCGCTTCATTTTCGGGCTGGTCTATACATAGCTCGGCTGATCAATACGTCAATACTGCCCGGCTGCAGTGCATGGACCCGCCCACACAGCGGCCCGACTTACTGTAGGTGGAAGAACTTTTTCCCTTTGTAAATTTTGCAGGTCGTCAATTTCCTAATCGCGTCCATTTCTTAACAAATCCCAGTCAGTAATGATATGCTGACGCCAGTGAGGAGTTTTGTGGTCTGCTTTTCCCGACCACAGGCGGCGTCGTTCTCTGCAGACGACGCTTTCATAAAATTGCAAACGGCGTTGTCGCGTTCCTCATTCTGTTTTCCTGGAGGGTCGGGGCGTGCCCGGGCCAGCTCAGCAGTTGGGCGCGGGCGGTCCTGGTTGCCGCCCGCCCGGCCATTCCGCGCAGATGACTCCGAAACCGCGTACTATATCAATCCAAACAGCGCGCGTTTACATCGGTTGGGTTGGTCGGTCACCCCGCTCGACCCCCGCGCGGGGAACTGGAAAAAATATGGCCTCTATAATGGGACAAAGTAACAGGCTGAATGTACTCCGGCAGTTTGTCAGCGCGGGACGTCCTTATTGCCGGGGCTGGCAGGTGCATCTCCTGGAGGCACAATTGCTGTTATTGCTGCCGTAATTTGGCGCTCGAGTCGGACAAAAGAGTCGGGGCTTTTGTTGCAGTAACAGAACAGAGCGGGCGGAGATGAAATGCGCCATTGGAACTGAAGCTTTTTGTGTCGATCAGGCGCTCATGATCAGGCGCTCGTCGTGTTTGTGTTCCTCTGCTGATGAGTGTCCAGGAGAGGGGATGATGGAGGTGTGTGTGAGTTACCAAAAAGAATGAATCACTTCCATTACATTACGCACAGTCAGCGCACGAGTTTTGCACAGCTGCGAACGATTATAGGAAAAAGGTGAAGAAG